TCTCTCTCTCTCTCTCTCTCTCTCTCTCTCTCTCTCTCTCCCCCTCCCTCCCTCCCTCTCTCTCTCTTTCGCGCTCTCTCTCTCGCTCTCTCGTAGGCACGCGCAATGCAGTGCTCAACACGGAGGCGCGCACGGTGGACGCAGATGTGCTGAGCCGCCGCTGCGTGCTCATGCGGCTGGTGGACTTTTCCTACGCGCAGTACCAGAAGGCGCTGCGGCAGTCGGCAGGCGCGGTGGTTATCATCCTGCCGCGGGCCATGGCCGCTGTGCCCCAGGATGTCATCCGGGTGAGTGACGCCCCATTGCAAGGCACTGCCCCCAGGGCTCAGGGCCTGCCCTGCAGTTGGTTTTGGAGCCAGCTATGTGACTTCGGTCGAGTTGCCTGGTCTCAGCCCTCTGCCATTTGGAAGGTGAGGGTGCTCTGCCCCTTTATCCCTGTTGCCCTGCTCCCGGGGGACCCTGGTGTCTGAGGACATGTGCCTTTGTGCCGGGAGGAACTACTGTCGCGGAGCAGGTGGAAGCCAGGGCCGCCGCTCCGCATCTCTGGTGCTCAGGACGCCCCCAGAGCACAGCCTGGCCCGGTGTGCACAGCGCCCAGGGGAGCCCTGCTTTTCAGCGTCAGGGCCTGGGGAGCCACACAGGAGGGGGTCTCAGAGGAGGAGGACCAGGGCTGCCTTGGCAGAGCCTCCTGAGCGCGCTCCTCCACAGCAATTCATGGAGATTGAGCCCGAGATGCTGGCCATGGAGACCATCGTCCCCGTGTACTTCGCCGTGGAGGACGAGGCCCTGCTGTCTATCTATGAGCAAACCCAGGCTGCCTCTGCCTCCCAGGGCTCAGCCTCCGCAGCTGAAGGTGGGCGCGGCCGGGGGCGGCGGCTGAGGGTGGGCAGGGCAAGCAGTGTTCTGTCCAGGGGCTGGGGTGTCTCCAGCCTTGTCCCACCCTGTGCAGACCTCCTGTGTGACAGCCGGGCCTGCAGGCCCACCCGGGGGCCAGAGCCCTGGTTAGGGGCTGCAGCTCCACCTGCCTCTTCCCCTGTGATACAAGAGCAACAGGCATCGGCCCTCAGCCCTGTCCATTCCGTGGACCGAGAGTCCTGGGCCACGGCTTGCTTCAGTCAGGCATGGGATCTGCAGTGTCCCTGGGGGGGAGCCAGCTGTCTCCTCTCCCCAGGGGTGGGCAGGTAGGCTGAGGCTATTGTTCACATGTGAGGGAGATTGGGGAGTGGGCTGCCGCTCAGAGTAAGAACACAGCGAGGCGTGGTGGTGCCTGCCTGTAATCCAAGCTGCTCAGGAGGCTGAGGCAGGAAGATCGCAGGTTTAAACTCAGTCTGGGCAACTTAGTACAACCCTGTCTCCAAAAAAAAAAAAAAGCTGGGGATGTAGTTTAGTACAGAGGCCCTAGGTTCAATCCCTAGTACCAGAAAAAAAAAAGGTAAGAGCATAAAAGTTATGAGAGAGTCACTGCTAAAGGCCCTGTCACCTATTAAAGGAGGCCTAAAAAGAGGAAGCCAGGGGCTGGGGTGCAGCTCAGTGGTGAGTGCTTGTTATCACGGCCTGAGTTCCATCCCCAGCCCCACAATAAATCAATAAATGCTGCAAAGTATTTGAAAGGGCCCGGCGGAGCTTTAGGCACAGATGGACCCTTCCCGTGGAAGCACTTTGCAGTTTGTGTTGAAGCTGTGGAAAGAGGTTCTCTGTTCCTGGCCAGGTTGTTGGGCCCGGTGCACTCTGGCCTGCAGTCCCTGCTTTTGTAAATAAAGTCTTTTGACACACGGTGCCACCCTTCACTACGGTCATCTACGGCAATCCATCTGGCCCACAAAGCTGAAAGCGTTAACTCTCTGGCCCTGCACAGAAAGTTTCCCACCTCTGATCACAATGAAAGACAAAACAAAAGCCTTTTTAAACTGCAATAGAGAGGAGTTTTTGCAAAAAGGAGGAGGAAAATTGTCCCCAGGGGAATATCACATAACTGTTAAAATGTCATTTAGGTAGAATTTTTACTGCCTTGAAGTATTTGACTTACATTGAGTAGTAGGAAAAAAAAACAGTATAAAGTGATTCGTACCAACCATAGCTAAATAACTTTTATTTTAAGTGCCTTGACTCAAAAATAGAGTTCCTGAGGTGCCTGCTTCCTTAGCTGCCCAGGGTAAGGTCTTACAGACCCGAGTGACTGTGTGTGGTTTTCATTTATTTATCTGTTAGGGATTTTTTGTGGTGCTGGGGTTGGAGCCCAGTGCCTGGCCCGGGCTAGGCAAATGCTCACACTGAGCTGTGCTCCAAGCCCATGAATGTGTTGGCTTGTTTCTTTTAGGGTTGTTTGAGACAGGGTTTCATTATTTAGTCCCTCCTGGCCTTGAACTCACTAGGTAGGCCAGGCTGGCCTTGAGCTCATCATGACCCGCCTGCCGCAGCCTCCTGAGTACTGGGATTGCAGGTGCGCCCCAGGCCTGGCTTGGCTGTGTTTCACCATGTGGAAAACAGTGCAGACCTGGCTCCCGGGCTGTCGTCTAGGGCACCGGGGCCGCTCAGGACTCGGGGCCCGTCTTGTCCTTAGTGCTGCTGCACACGGCCACCGCCAACGGCTTCCAGATGGTCACCAGTGGGGTCCAGAGCAAGGCTGTGAGCGACTGGCTGATCACCAGCGTGGAGGTGAGTGCCGGGACACCTGACCCCCGCCCCACCCCGGGCCTTGGCACGGCTGCCAGCTCCTCCCCCGGGTCCTTCTGAGCCTCTGCTCTGTACAGGGCACAGCAGTGAGCCAGCGGGAACGCACTTCCAGTGTGGATGTCCAAGGGCAGCAGGCACTGTCACCAGCTGGCAGGGGGTCGAGGACGGCTGTCACCGTGGGGCATCTGGGCCAAGAGGCCTGCAGTCCACAGCTCAGGGTGGAGGAGCGGCTGCTCAGTGGCTGGGCATGGCCAGCAGAGCCGACGGGGGTGGGGAGCCGCGCAGAGTCCTGGTGACTCAGGTGTGGAGAGCCGAGCCGAGGCCATTGGGGGTTCTTGCCATTCAGGGGTTCGGTCTCTTGGCATGGCCACCCCCTCGTTGGTTCTGGAGGCTTCTGGGTGTCCTGAGCAGGAACCAGAAACTGCCGATCCTGCTGGCTCCTGGCGTCTGCTTTTTCTTGCTCCTGCTGTTGGCTGTGTGGGCAGGGGTGGGCTAGGATTGCGGGTCTTTATGAAGTATTTGGTTTTCAAAACAACAAAAACAAAAAAACAAAAAAAAAATGAAGTATTTGGGTTTGTTTGATTTTGTTTTAAGAGAGTAAGGATTGAATTCTGGCCTTTCCACTAAGCTACATCCCCAGCCTTTAAAAAAATTTTTTTTCAGCCAAATTCTCACTAAATTATTAAGTTGCCAAGGCTAGGCTGGAACTTGTGATCCTCATGCCTCAGCCTCCCAGAGTATGAGGACGACAGGTGTGAGCCATCACACCTGATGGGGTGGCCCATCTCCTGGTGAGGCCGAGGCCATGGTCACTGCCAGGATCTTCAGCTGGGCCCTGCCTCCCCTTCAGCCCCTGTGGATGGCCGTCCAGGCTCTGTCCCATCCGTGGTGGGGGGCTTTGTGTGGTGGCCCCAGTTTCCAGCTGGGAACGTGTGCTGTAGAAACCTGGGGTCCCACCCTCTGTGGCTCTTAGGCCAAGTCTGGCCCTCTGTCTGTTTTGTTAATAAAGTTTTATTGGCACGTGGTCATGCCTAGAGAAGCCGTAGCAGCTTTCTCAGGTTGTTGTGCCAGGGCTGATGATCTCCCTCTGTGTCTTTTACGGAAGGTTCACTGGCCCCCATGCCAGAGCAGAGCCTCTGGAGGAGGCGAGGAGGGCCAGGGCTGAAGTTGGTGGCCTTGGCCGGTGTGGGTTCTCTTCCCTCGCTGTGGGAACAGGCGGCAGAGTGCGCGGGAGGGGCACGACCCAGGGAGCAGGGACTCCCGACCCCGTGCCCTCACTGGCTAGTTTCTCCAGCGCTGGGGGTGGCGCTGCCCCAGCCGGCGGCTCTCACACTGTCTCTCCGCAGGGGCGGCTGACAGGGCTGGGTGGAGAGGACCTCCCCACCATCGTCATCGTGGCCCACTACGACGCTTTCGGGGTGGCCCCGGTATGTGCCCCACCCCCCGCCCCCCGCCCTGGCTCAGCTCAGTGTCGCAGAACCAAAACAGCCCCGCCGTGCAGGGCGGAGGGTCAGTTTCTGCACGTTCATAGGGTTGAGCAACCGTCACCACTGGCTACTTCCAGAACTTTCTGCCACACCGTGAGCAGTCACCCAGCCCCTCCCAGCTCGGGCACCCACGAGGCCACTTCCTGTCTCTGGAGTCCCCTGTCCTGGGCGCTTCCTGTCCACAGAGCCCACACTGCATCCTCTGTGTCCAGCGTCTCTCACTGAGCGCCGTGCCCCCCCACGAACTTTAACGCCAGAGTGATACTGGCATATACGCCATGCTCTTGGCCCGGTCCCAGTCACCAGAGCGTCCCATTTTCTTGTCCTTCTAAGAACCAGCTCTTTGCTTGGTCAGCGCTGTTGCTTTAGGATACAGAAGTGAGTCCTGGTGCCTGGACTGTGTCTCCCGGGGACAGGGCGGAGGGCAGTGACCGGGGACACCTGAGGGCCCTGGCGTCCCATGTCGGGGGTCTGTACAGAAGAGTGGAGCCATCCAGCCGGACGGGGCCCAGAGGCGACACTGGTGGGAGCCAGGCAGGCACTGAGCAGCCGTGTCTCCACCCGCAGTGGCTGTCGCTGGGCGCAGACTCCAACGGGAGCGGCGTCTCTGTGCTGCTGGAGCTGGCGCGCCTCTTCTCCCGGCTCTACACCTACAAGCGCACCCATGCCGCGTGAGTGTCGTTGAGGGGCCTGCCTGCAGCCCCGGCCCGCCAACCCACCTCCCCGGCCCTACCTGTGAGCCTAGAACGCTGCCAGCAGGGGGCATGGGGACAGCCAGCAGGCGGCCGTGAAACTCAGCCTCCCTGCAGCCCTGGAAACACCAGGGCCAGGCTGTTCCCTGCGGGGGCACCCTGGGCACTGGTGCTAAGCACCATCCCTGGCCTCTACCCACTGTGGTTGTGACAGTCACAGGAGTCCCAAGACACAGCCCAGGGTCCTCTGGGGGCAACAGCACGTGGGGTGAGGCCCTGGCTTAGGCACCCAGGTGACCCCTTGGAGGCGGGGCCCACAGGCACTGGGCTCGGCCGCTGTGTCTGGGACCTCTCGGCCTTCTCACAGGGTGGCTGCCCGGTACCAGCAGTCTTCTCCAAATCCAGAAAGTTAAACGTAGGGCTAAGGGGAGGGTGTCAGGGTGTCGCTTTTTACGAAGCCGTAAAGTAAAGCAGAGCTGCGGGACCTGGAACAGTCGGCTTGTCCAGGCAGGGCTGGGAGTGACTGAGTTCAGCCACCTGCCAGGTTGCCACCCACTGGGACGTCACAGCGACAGGGGCCTTGACAGGCAGGTGGTGAGTGGGCACGCTGAGCCAAAGGAACGCAGGCCGCGCGGGGAAGCTGAGTTCCGGAAAGCGGGGGAGCTGGAGCCAGCCCTGCGTGTGCGTGTCTGTGCCGTGCGGGGTCTATGGGTGCTCCGGGCCCTGGCAGCACGCGGCTCAGGTTGGCATAGACTTTAAATCATCTCCATGACTCGGAACGCCTGAGCCCGTGTGCGTGCGGGGCACGCTGTGCTGTTGCATTGTGTTTTGGGGCCGCTTACTGTGGACAGATGTCCTGAACGTATCTGACCTATGGTTGAGTCCGTGGGTCACACAGACACACAGGACTGACCACGGTCCTCTTTCTGTTTTGTGTTCCACCCCTGGTGACTGAACTCAGGGCCTTCTAGCTGAGCTACATCCCCAGCCCCTTTTTGAGATGTTAAACTTTGAGGCAGGGTCTCACCAACTTGCCAAGGTTGGGCTCCGCCTTGCAGTTCTCCTGCCTCAGCCTCCCAGCTGAGGTGTGTGTCTCCACCCCTGGCTCTGTGTACACTTCTAGCAAGTAGGTCCTGTGCCCAGGCTGAAGCATCCTCTGGCGTCTGTGAAACGCAGGCGTCACAGGGCCCTGTGTTTTAGCCAGGGGCCAAGTGCAGAGCCCCCTTCTAGGGCCCCAGGTGTCCTGGTTCATGGCTGTCTCTCCAGCCTCTTGCCATCGTCACAGCTGTCGCCTGTATGTCGAATGTCTCTTCCTGTGAGGACACAGCCGCTGGGTGGAGGGCACACCTGAGCCCAGCACCGCTGCGTCCTAGCTGATCACATCGGCAAAATCTCACTCCAAGGGTCTTGGGTCTGGGTGCCCGGCCACCCCTCAGCTCCCAGTGGATGTGGAACCAGGGTGCATTACACCCCACCGCAGGGCCAAGCAGGGGCGCCAGGGGGCTCCCCAAGAGGGCTTCCGGTGGGGTGGATCTTGTGCAAAACGCTTGGGTCCTCAGGGGAGCCCCACGTGCCCATGGCCTGTCCCCGCGTCTGCACCTGCACGCTCACGCATCCCCGCCCGCAGGTACAACCTCCTGTTCTTCGCTTCGGGAGGGGGCAAGTTCAACTACCAGGGCACCAAGCGCTGGCTGGAGGACAACCTGGACCACACAGGTGAGTGGCCCGGCTGGGGGGCGCAGCAGGCGCTGGGCTGGAGGGGGACCCGAGACCCCTGCTTCCTGCAGCCCCTCACAAGCCCGCACTGCCCCCCAGACTCCAGCCTGCTGCAGGACAACGTGGCCTTCGTCCTGTGCCTGGACACCGTGGGCCGGGGCAGCAGCCTGCACCTGCACGTGTCCAAGCCGCCGAGGGAGGGGACCCTGCAGTACGCCTTCCTGCGGGAGCTTGAGACGGTGGGTGTGGGGCTGGGGTGTCCAGGCGGGCAGACCCCCGTGTCGTGCCACCCCGCCCCCATAACTGTACAAACGGGGCCTCCAGGGAGCTCCAGGCTGGCCTCCCCTTCCAACCTGCAGATTCCTGGTGTGGGAGTGGCCTGGAGGAGGTGAGGTGGGCGGGGCCTTGCTGAGTGGGCGGGGCTGAGGAGGGGCGCGTGTGGCCTCAGGTGGGTGGGCGGGGCCGGGTGGGCGGGGCATCTGGGCCCTGGCTTGACACCTGTCCTGTGGCTCTGCCCCGCAGGTGGCCGCGCACCAGTTCCCTGAGGTGCGCTTCTCCATGGTGCACAAGAAGATCAACCTGGCGGACGACGTGCTGGCCTGGGAGCACGAGCGCTTCGCCATCCGCAGGCTGCCGGCCTTCACGCTGTCCCACCTGGAGAGCCACCGCGACGAGCAGCGCAGCAGCATCATGGACGTGCGGTGCGCGCCACTCCGCACCCGTAGAGCCTCCCTCGGAGGGGTGGGCATGGCTCCCGGGACTGTGGGGCTGAGGTGCCCGGAGCTCCCCCAGTGCTGCGGCCCAGAGTCCCACGCCGGGCCCGAGCGGGTTGGACCCTCCGCCTGTCCCAGGTCTGGGGGGGGCTGTGTGACCCTCGGTGTGGCCATGTCGTCCCCATCATGTGGCCATCTCTTCTGTGTCCTCGGAGGACTCCGTGCCGAGAGCCTCACCTTAACTGGGTCCTTGGAAAACCTTCACGTAGAGCCCCGCCCTGAGGTTCGGGTGGCTGTTTGGGGGCACCACCCTGCTGCAGCAGAGATAGATGCGGGCCCACAGCCGCCCCATCTTCCAGATGAGAAGCTGCAGCAGGCCAGGCCTCTGCTGAGGCCGTGCTGCCGGGCCCTGCGCGGTCCCTAGAGCCCCCGTGGCACCCGGCCTGGCCAAGGAGGTGGCCGCGTTCCCTGGGGAGCCCGCTCAGCCCGCCTCTGTGGGGCGTCACACCTGCCTGCCCCCCTCCAGGTCCCGCGTGGACTCGAAGACGCTGACGCGCAACACGAGGATCATCGCTGAGGCCCTGACCCGGGTCATCTACAACCTGACGGAGAAGGTGAGGCCCCCGCCGGCCCCGCCGCCGGCCCGGCCCCGCTGCCAGGGCGCCGCTCAGAGCCTGGTCTTGCTCTCCACAGGGGACCCCGCCGGACATGCCAGTGTTCACAGAGCAGATGGTAAGCGGGCACCGGGCCGGCGGGGCCGGGGCCGGGCTGCCGTGACAGGGCTGTGTCCCCGCAGCAGGTCCAGCAGGAGCAGCTGGACTCGGTGATGGACTGGCTGACCAACCAGCCACGGGCCGCCCAGCTGCTGGACAAGGACGGCACGTTCCTGAGCACACTGGAGCACTTCCTGAGCCGCTACCTCAAGGACGTGCGGCAGCACCACGTCAGGGCGGACAAGCGGTGAGCAGCCTCCCGCCGCCAGGGCAGCCCACGGCGGAGGCGGGGAGCGCAGGTGCCCCGGCGGTTTGGGCACCTGGGATGGGACTGGAGCGTGAGTCCGGCCGTGCCGTGCTCGGGGTGAGCCCAGGGAAGGTTTACACTTCCGGAAGTGACGGTGCTCATTAGGACCTGGGCCCCCCACACCCAGACCCTGGGTCACCGGTGTGTCCTGTGTCGCCAGGCGCCTGGGCGGCCGGCTGAGCGAGCAGCCCGCAGGAAACAGCCCAGAGAGCCCTGCGAGCCCCCGCCCCGCCGCAGGTCCCTTCCTCCCGGCTGGGCCGCTCCCTCCCGCGGGCCGCGCAGGCCCTGTGCGGGAGGTGGGGCTCAGAGTGGACGCACAGTTGTGGCTCCAGGGGCCACAGCCCTCGTTCCTGGGCTGTGGTCACCTCCTGCTATAGAAATATTTCCCGAGAGTACACGCCTGTGATTCTAGCACTCAGGAGGCTGAGGCAGAAGGGTTGAAAGTTTGAGTCTAGGAGAGGCGATGTAGTGAGATACTGTCTCAAAATTAAAGAGAGCGAAAAGGAAATACTTCCCAGGCCAATTCTATCTCATCACCTGTTTTTTTCTGGTATTTTTTTTGTGTGTGGAGGGGTGTTGAGGCAGAGTGTTGCTGTGTAGCGCAGGCTGGCCTGGAACTCTCAGTGATCCCCTTGCCTCAGCCTCCTGAGTGCTGGGGTGACAGGTGCGCATCACCACTCCCAGATACCCTATTTCCTTTATTTGTTTGTTTGTTTTGGTCTTTTTGGGACAAGGTCTAGCTGTGCAGTTCAGGCTGGCCTTGAGCTCACTTCGTAGCCCAGGCTGGCCTCGAACTCGCAATGATCCTCCTGCCTCAGCCTCCTGAGTGCTGGGATGACAGGTGTGTGCCACCACACCTGCCCTATTTCCTTTTGAAAGAGTAACTTTAATACCTGCAGAAGTGGGGCTCCGTGGCCTCAGGAAAATGCCAACCTCTCTCATGAGGGACGGGCGGACAGTGAGGCTTGGGGGGGCCCAGCATCTGGGTCGCAGGCTGGGTCAGCTTTTGGGGTGGGCCGCTGAACAAGTGCTGTCTCCCCAGGGACCCTGAATTCGTCTTCTATGACCAGCTGAAGCAGGTGATGAACGCGTACAGGTGAGTGGCTGGGCCCGACGTCCAGGGCGCTGGCCCAGGCCTGGGCCCGGCCTCCCCCTGCCAAGCCCCGTGTGTTCCCAGGGTCAAGCCGGCCATCTTCGACCTGCTGCTGGCCGTGTGCATCGGCGCCTACCTGGGCATGGCCTACACGGCGGTGCAGGTAAGCAGCGGGCGGGGACCCACGGCCAAGTCTCGGGGATGCGGCTGGGGCCCGGGCCTCACCTCCGCCCTGTCCCCAGCACTTCGGCCTGCTCTACAAGACCGTGCAGAGGCTGCTGGTTAAGGCCAAGACGCAGTGACAGCCCCACCGCCTCCACCTGGGTGCCCACGGGACCTGGAGCCTCCTCCCCCGCGTGAGGGCAGCGGTGACAGGTTTCCGTGCTGCCGCCTCGGATGGACTCGGAGCTGTTTGGTTTGCTTTGGGTTTTCTTCCTTTTTGTTGAACTTCCTCGGAGGAGAGCCGGGCAGAGGCCCGGGGCCACCTCCACCTTGGGGACAGCTGGATGAGCCCCGGCCTGGGGCCCGCCAGCCTCAGAGACAGGTGTGTGTGGTGACTGGCAGAGACAGGGCCTGCCCTGCACAGGCTCCGCGGTGTTCCCTGCGCGGTCCCTGTGCCACGCCTGGTTATTTATCTCCTCATCCTCCGGCCTGTGGGCCAGCGCAGCCTCTGGGCACCTGGATACCCACGGCCCCTGCCCTGGGCCCTGAGCCGCCCCCTGGCCTGTGGGGCGCGGAGCCTCCACTCCACGCAGATGGGCGCCGCACCGGCGTCCCCGCACCTCCCCGGCCCCTGCTCACGTTGCTGCCCCCGGGCCCCCAGACTGCGCCTCGCCGGCCCAGACTCCCCTCTGCTTTTTGCAGCTCTCAGCCACCTCCCTGAGCGGTCCCCAGCCGCCACCCCGCAGTCCCTGCTCAACCGCCCCAGCCCTCCCACCCCGGGGCTCCAGTCTCAGTTTCCTCCTCGTGAAGGAAGACCCAAGGAAGACCCGTGCCGTGCCGGGAGGAGCCGACCTCCCTTCCCATCCCGGCACAGGAGAGCGCGGGTCAGGGATCCCGAGTGACAGAGAAGGCACGGCCCAGAGCGGTGCGGGCGGGCGGGCGGGAGGCCGAGGGCGGTGTTGATCTCAGGGAGACCAGGTGTATCGATTCCTTAGCAATATAATCAACGAGCGTTCCCAGCGCCGCCCGGCGGCTCTGCGCGTCCCGTCCCTGGCTTGGTCTGCGGCTCTGGCTGCCACCTTGAGACTACTGCCCTGGGGACCGTGTGTCCGAGGATGGGGACAGCTCCTCTGTCCAGCCAGCTTCTCTGAGGCCTAGCGTGGGCCCCGCCTCCCTGGAACCTGTCCCCGCGCCCTGCTGGCCTGCCCTGAGGACGGGGGCCTCGCCTGGAGGGACCTGGGGTACCTCGGTGCCACCCAGCCCCGCGCCGGGCACCTGCGCTGCCCGGGCCGCCGTGTCTGCGCGGACTCCGCACCCCTCCCTGCAGGGCCGCTGGGGCTCGGGCTGGCCGGGGTCGCCGCTGCCAGCCAGAAAATAAAGCCATACTGAACGACGGCGTGTCTGTCTGGGGACTGCGCGTCTCACCAGCCTGAAAGGTGGCTCCGCGAGGGGGCAGGCGCCGCTTGTGCCCCGAAATTCTCCGGGGTCCACCGTGCAGGGCACCAGGCCATCGGGCCCAAAGCCACTTCTGTCCCTAGGAGGTCCTCGAGGCCGCGTTTCCCGTCTCCATGTTGCCCCTTCAGTGTCGCCCCTGAGGTCCCTGGGTTTGGGGCCGCCCTGCTGCCCTGCGGTCCGAGCTGGCTGCAGAGACCCTGCTCCCAGGCAGGGCCCGTGAGGCTCCAGGGGCTTGGGCCCAGCGCGGACAGTGGCAGGTACACTGCTGCCACCTTCTGGCCGCCACAAGCCCTTCGCCAGGCACCAGGGGCCCCGGGGGGATGTGGCCCTCAGCCTGCTGCACCAGGGCCCCCAGGGCAGGGGCAGGTTTGGAGGTGCCCTGCTTGGCCTGCTCAGTTCTCTTGTGTCACTCAACAAAGTCCCACCAAAGCTCCTGGGAGGGGCTGACCTTGAGTCTGTGACCAAAACCCATACCTCAGAGATGGGGGAAAACGAGGTGTGCTTAGCGGGGCTGGGGGTCATCATATTGGGGGAGGAAGGGGCCCAGGAGCAATTTAGATGGGCGTCAGGGAGGTCCAGTGAGCCTGGATGGCTGGGCACAAGATGAGACATTTGAGTTGAGACCTGAGCGGCAGGAAGTAATCCCTGGGGGAAGGCAGAGGGCACAGCTGTGCAAAGGCCCTGGGGCAGCAAGGAGCTTGATGTAGAAGGAGCAGCCAGACCCCATGTGCCTGGAGCAGGGGAGGTGGGGAGGTAATGGCGGGTCATGCAGGGCCCTGCTGGCTACAGGAGGACCTGGGCTTTGGTGGGGAGGAAGGTGGGAGCAAGGAGGGCTGAGGGCAGAGGAGGGAGGAACTGACTCACGGCGCCCCCTGGTGGCTGCTGTGGGGAGGACGTGGGCCAGGAGGGTGGGAGCCAGGCACCGGTGCAAGCAGCTGTCAGGTCGGTGTGGGCACTGCTGGTGCTGACCTCGGGGTGGAGCTCCTGCTTAGAGAAAAGCCGGGCTCCTCCTTTAGCACACAGGCATATCTTTCTTTTTTAGTGCCCCAAATTCTGTAGGAACCCAGAAATGTAACCCTGCAGGAGGCCCAGTGGGCAGAGGATCCGCGGTCACACGCTGGCATCTTCCACCGTGTTCCCGGGGTGTGGGTGCGGACACCAGAGCTTTGGAGATGGGGTCCCCGGGCGTCACCTGGGCCCGCATGCGGTCTCTCCCTTGCAGAGGAGGACCAGGCTGAGTGGTAACGGCCATTCGAATGCCCTCGAGGGGCGGGTTTGTCCTCTGCCCACCCGTGAGGTCGGCAGCGCAGTCATTGTGGTGCCAGGAGCCAGGTGCCTTCTGGCGTCTGGGAGTGGGGTCCAGGACCCTGGGGACACCAGAGCCCGCGGGTGCTGAGCCCCTTCTGGAGCGCAGCCAGGCTCTGCGCAGAGTGTGCACGTGTCCTCCCAGGGACTTTGCTTCTCCTTTAGTCCTAGGGACGGAACCCAGGGCCTTCACACTGAGCTCCGTCCCCGCCCTTTCTGGATTTATTATTTATTTGTTTGTTTATTGTCTTTTTGATACAGGGTCTTGCTATGCAGTTCGGGCTGGGCTTGAGCTCACTGTGTAGCCCAGGCTGGCCTTGAACTCGCAACGATCCTTCTGCCTCAGCCTTATGAGTGCTGGGATCACAGGCGGGTGCCACCACGCCTGGCTTCTGTTTTTGAGATAGGGACTCAATCATTAAGTTGCCCAGGCTGGGTTTAAACTTGCAATCCTCCTGCCTCAGCCTGCCAGAGTGCCGGGCCGGACGACGGGCCAGGGGACACTGTCAGCGGTGTTTCAGAGCGCGGGGAGCATCTTTGATGGACAGGGAGACTGCAGGGGAGGGGCTGCATGCCAGGAGTGCAGTGGGAACGTCGGGGAGGAGGAAGCCAGTTGGAATCAGCAGGCAGAGGCCCGGCCATGTGCATGCGAAGGCCCTGGGGCAGCACGAGCCCAGCGCAGCGGGCAGGAGCTGGGGAGGCGGCCTGAAGGAGGACACACAACTGACTTTTAAATCTGGAGATGTCACTGGCAGCCTGAGGACCGTCGCGCAAATGCAGTGTGGTCGTGCTGCCAGCAGAGCGCGGTGTGGCCCTTGCGTGGCTCCCTTCCTGTCCTGGGTGGCAGCAAAGCAAGGAGACAAAGATGCCGCCCGCCACAGCCCTGGCAGCTTCCACCACAACCCCAAAGAGGCCACCTCTTGCTCGCTGTGAAGAGCCATGAGTTGGCATCCCTGGAACCATCACGGTTTCTCCTTGGGGCTGGAGATACCCTCTGTGTGCTGATTATCGGAACCGGTTTTGGTTTTTTGAGGCAGGGTCCCAGGGAGGCCTAAGTTGCCTTTTGAGTTCAAACTTGTGGTCCTGCCTCAGCTTCCCAGAGTGCTGGGATGACAGGCGTGGGCCACCGCCCCTCCCTCTCTCTGGCTCTTTCGTTGCTAAGTACTCTGAAGCACCTTTCCTAAAGCCTGTGGCGTTCTCTTCCCCAACCATGGAATCAGGAGTGGGCGCAGACGTGTCAGTGTCAGCCGGTCAGAGCTCACTCCGGTTTGTCCAGCTGTCCCCAGCACCAGCTTGAATTTCCAACAGGTGGTTTTTATTACAGGTCTAAAAAATCTTTTTCAAGTCACTTCTGTAACTTTTGCTTTAAGATAAACAGAAGTATTTTTTTAGAGAGCCAGCTGACAGAAAATGTCATGGGAATAGTACCAGTGCAGCTCCCACCCAGCCTGCTATCAAAAATAAAACAGGTCAGGTCAGATGGTGTGCACCTGTGATCCCAGCACTCGGGGA